TTACCATAGCTTAAATAGAAGAATCAAAAGGTACTTTGAAAAGAAATACAGTTTATGATTTAGAGCGATCCATGGAGGTAAAATTAGAAAATTTACCGGGGCTAACATCGTCAACAAAGCCGCACTCCACTAGAAGGACACCTTGATCCCCCATATTGATCTTCCAGCAAAGCATGTTGGTCTACTCTGTCGGTTTTGGTTTTGGTTTTGGTTTTGGTTTTTGGTTTCTTGGTTTTCGTTTTTTTTAATGTTTATAATTAGATTTTGGTTTTGGTTTTCATTATATAATTTAAAAGCCAAAACAAAAACTAAAAAGTGAAACGAAATAGATCGGTAAAAATAAAAAAATTAGAAACAGAAATAGAAAAGTAAAATAATATATAAAAACCGAAATCTCAACCGAAAAGCAAAATGGAGAAGTGAAAATCAAAACGTTAAAAACGGAAAAGGAAAAGTAAAAAATAAAAACCGAATTCTCAACCAAAAAGCAAAATGGCGAAGTGAAAATCAAAACTGTGAAAAACAAAAACGGAAAAGTGAATATGATCGCTACGATCGCTGTGATCGCTGCGATCGCTGAGAAAAAAAAGTTCAGCGATCATATGGAAACCACTCTCCAGCGATCGCAGCGACAACGATCGTCAGCGATTGTTGTCGCTGCGATCGGTGGAGAGTGTTTGTGGTTTCATATGATCGCTATATACTGATCGCTGGGATCGCTTTTTTTTTTTCAGCGATCGCAGCGATCACAGCAATGGTAGCGATCATATGGAAACCGGGATTTAAGTTGATCATGGCATATTTTAAAAGTAAGGATTGCTTACAGCGAAACCTCTATTTAAACTGTGTATCATTATGAAACGCCTTGAAGGCTAATCGTATGGTCCGTCTCAATAAGTGCAGTAGTTGGTCGCGTGTGTTGATTTCAGTGACTTGAGTGGAGCTACTGTGGGCTGTTTATAGGTTTTTCCGAATAAATAACATAGGCCTAAAATGTTCGTTTGTCCGGTGCCGAAACTATTACAAGTCATGATGAAACGGCCGGCGCCGCCGAGCCTCACATCTCGGTAGATTTACTTTGTGACACAACGGCGGCCGAGCTACAAAACTCTGTAGATTTACTTTGTGGCACAACGGCCGCCGAGCTATGCAACTCGGTGGATTTACTTTGTGGCACAACGGCAGCCGAGCAACACAACTCTGTCGATTTACTTTGTGGAACAACGGCCGCCGAGCTACACAACTCGGTAGATTTACTTTTTTTGTGGCACAACGGCTGCCAAAACTTTTGAAAGATGAACGTTTTGAAAGATTCAGCAAAAACAGATCGATAGTAGACCTTCAGCAAACTCTTGAAATATGTACGCTTTACGAAGATTCAGCAAACTTTTAAAAGATGAACGCTTTACGAAGACAGAATAAAAGACCTCAGCAAACGCTTGAAGACGCACTAATCACCACGTGAGTTAGTTCGTCAAAGTCAGGCAAAACGTAAGCAAGCGCCTCAAAGCGAGGCAAATGTGTGTCGACGACGACAACAAATGCAATCTCAAAAAAACCTCCCTTATTAATTGCACAGGAAACCCAATAATGCACAGAACACTCAACACAAATTAGGGGTTGCGTTCTCGTAGCTCGAACGCAATTATTTTCCAAACCACGCACCAACATAAATTGTAAAAATAGCTGCATTGTGTAAATTTTAACAAAATAAACTAGGAGTAATCGGAGCTTAGGAGAGTGCGTTCGATATGTTCTTTAGGCCTACAGGTAGCAGTTGAGGGGGAAGGGTGGTTGCGATATAGATAAATATGATTATGGCATATTTTGAACGTAAGAGTTGCGTACAGCGAAACCTCTATTTAAACTGTTTATCATTATAAGAACGTTTTTAAAAGATATCGTATGGTTCGGTGTCAATTGAATGCTTGTAATTGGAGGAGACACTGGCCAGAGTGCGTCAGGCGTGTAAATAGAATATTTTGTTTTACTGGCGCGATTACAGGGCGCAGTTTCTCAAAGGCCGATTAGTGCTTAACTCGGGATTCTTTTTCTTTCTTCAAAAACATCAACAACAAAAATGACAAAATGAATTAAATTGAATTTACTGTTTTAAAAGGTTTCACATCTGAATTCAAACTTCGCACTAACACTGTCAAAGCCTTTAATGCGGAATGTGTGTGCGGCTCACGTCAATAACTTTTCCAGTAATGTGGTCGAGCGTGTTGATTTCAGTGACTCGAGAGTGGCGCTACTGTGGGCTGGTTTATAAGTTTTTAGTAATAAATAACATGGAGTTAAAGTGTTCGTTTGTCCGATGCCGAAAATATAACAAGTCATGATCCAATGGCGCCGCCGAGCTTCACATCTCGGTAGATTTACTTTGTGACTCAACGACCGCCGAGCTACACAACTCGGTAAATTTACCCGGCAGTCCGCCTTTTCTCTTTTAAATCCGTCTAGTTCTTATCTCATCCAGCGCGATTGCAAACCACGACGTTATTATTACTAAAGGAAATGAGAGTTTTTCTTCTCGGGCTTACGCCCTCATTTCTCGCGGCTTGGCCGCTCGCGTGCTTAGGTTTCGCGTGCAGTAACTTTGCAAAGAAAAACTAAGAGACTGCTCGCAGTCTAGTGGTACAACGGCCGCCGAACTAAAGCCGGTTTGATGCATGCACCAGGAGTCGCAGACATTTTCCAAAGACAGTGACGAACCATGCGGAAAAATATGAAGGCTTAATCCAAAGTAAACTTTAACAGCAAACTTCTGAAAGATGAACACTTTGGACGATTCAGCAACCACAGATCGACGTACACTTTATGAAGATTCAGCAAACTTTTTAAAAGATGAACGCTTTACGAAGAATATCAGACCGTAGCAAACTGCTTTGAAAGATGAACGCCGCGGACACAAGAATCACCACGTGAGTTAGCGCGTCAAAGTGAGGCGAATCGTAAGCAAGCGCCTCAAAGCGAGGCAAATGTGTGTCGACGACGAAAATGCATTCTCAAAAAAATCTCCCTTATTAATAGCACAGGACACCCAAGAATGCACAGAACACGCAACACAAATTAGGAGTTGCGTTCTCGTACCTCGAACGCAATTATTCGCAAAAAAATTGTCACATTTTGCATCCCTATAGTGAACACCAAATTGCTTCTGTAATGCGTGTTTGCCTACGCGCCGGCCTGGAAATCAGTTTTTGTTGTATGTGGCGAGCGGAGTTAAATAACTTTGTTCTTGTTGTTGTCGTTAACGAAGCTTACAGTAGGTAAGCCTCGTTTACAATGAACATATCATTCATGCACTTCCTTCGGTCGACTTCAGTTTCACTTCACTGCCACCATTTCCGACTAACTGAGGCACGGATGACTGTTGCTTAATGATAAGCTCCAAAATGAAAGAGCTCGGATATTCGTCGTCAAATAGTTTCAGAAGTAGGTATTAATTATAGGGAATGGACTGCCAAAATTCTGTTTTGCTGCTCAAGTATCACTTAGGGATGTCAAGAAAAAGGAAAGCAAAAAAGAAGAGAGGAGAGAAAATAGCTTAATGACTGACTTCTCTCTTTATTGCTATATAATTTACGGCTACTGGGTACATGGTTGTCCTATTTTCTACTTGAATTATTTAGAGGTTAAACAATGTAGCTGGCAACGCGCCAGGCCTGGCTTTCTTTGGGTTTAATTTTAGTTTTTTCCGGCCAGCATCATCACCTTTTTCCGGACATGAAATATTCCAACCTCGTCCTCACGAGGTTGGGAGTCTTCGCTAGGCGTTTCCCATGAAGTTATGTACAGCGAAACCTGTATTAAGCGGACACCTCTATTAAGCGGACGCAGACACCTAAAAAGTGCCTGAAATAGGCATTTCTGTTGTTTCCAAACTGTACTAAACGGACACTTGTAATTAAATTCCACCACCCAACATGCCAGACACTGGAAATGCGAAATATTGCCACCCACAAATTTTCATTTTTTACCTTAAAAAACGTGACTTGTCGAACTTATTTTATTAGTTTCACAGAACAGTTATGTTTTCTATTTCGTTTTGTTTGTAATATATAGAGCTTGTTTCACTCATCTGATTTCTTCAAATTTGAGTTGCAATCAGTATGTTTCTGGTACTTTGATCAACTGGTCCACTTAAATAAAGAAATTAATGCAAACGTATATCGTCATAGTCTCTGGGAGTATCCTAAACTTTTCCACTGTTCATTTGAATTGCATTTGACACCTCATATGACTTATCTATTGAAACCTGTATTAGGCGGACACACTGTACTAAGCGGACACTACTGCATTCCCCGAGGGTGTCTGCTTAATACAGGTTTCACTGTACTAAGTAACCCAAGGAGTTCCCCCTCCCCCCAGGGGGTCAGTATCGTGCCATTTGATTAATTGACTATTAGCTTTGGCAATCACTCGATACTGTTCGTGGTGGCTGCATTGGTATAATTATATATCGGCTCCATGGAACTGCAAACAGGCTGCTAGCGGTCAAGATCCTCTAATTTTTAATTGCTTATTCGTTACCGTGGCGGACAATAATTGTATTAACTGGTAATGTACACTGCCAATGTTAGTGACTAGTGTAAGAAATATTAACGGTAGCATCATAACTTAAATAATCCTATTCCTTTCTTTCTATAGAATGCGATACAACATTAACGTTACAAGTAAAAAATACTTTAAAAATAGGAAAATTACCCTTAAATTGATAAAAATTATGTCATACATTAAATAAAACCACATCAGTGGCGTAGCCAGCCCATAGACCTGTAGGCCCGGGCCTACAAAATGTTTGGTTTGATCACTCTACCGCTTATAATAAATTATGCGTTGTTGGGGTGAGCTAAAAAGCTTAGAGCGCAAAGTGTTGGTGCGTACTAGTCATGTGTGCAGTTTTCAGGATATGAGGAAAAGAAAGTCAGCCAGGCCTACAAATAGTCGAAAAGCTGGCTACGCCCCTGCACATTCAGTTCTGTCGCATTAACTTATCATCTAATAATTTCCCGTTTAAAGAAGCAGTTTCGGTCGACTTCTACAGTTGGGTTAACTTTCACTACAGACAAGGTTCCATTACGACTGCTGGTAAGACACATCGTCCTATTTCGTATGGAAAACCCATGATGGCTATCTGAGTGATTGCCCAACCTCTCAAATTTAAACCAAACGTTTTTGCCTCCTTTTTCACAGGAAACATTCTGTGAAAGCAACAGATAAAAAATTAATTGTTATTATTATTGTTATTGTTATTTATTTATTGATTTGTTCATTTATTTTTTTACGATAGACTCTTACAATAAGCCAGAAAATTACAAATTAGGGTAATTCAAGAATACAGTCGACTCCTGATAACTCTTACCTCCCGCTACCTCGAAGTAATTTTTGTTTCCCTTCTCATCATTCTATACAATTATTTCACCCTCGATAACTCCAACCATAGTTTTAAGCGCGTGACGTTAGGCGAAAAAAAAAAAACAATTTAACTGCGTTTCAAAACATTGAATTTATTTCAAAACAACCGTGTATTGTTTACTTTTTCATTTAGTCTAATTTAAATATAATGTTTATCCTTGTACTGATTAATCAAGCTTTTTTTTCCAAAAAAATATACCGTAAAATTCCGAAAATAAGCCCCTTTATTTGTAAGCCCCTCCAAATATAAGCCCCCCAAACCGGTAACGCAAAAAACCCTCCGTTAAATCGCCCCTCCAAATATAAGCCCCCAGGAGCTTGTACTTGGAAAATTGCCCTCAAATACAAAGTAAAACAAAGCAAAAACGGTAAATTTACTTCCAACTGTAAGGAAGCAATCGATTTTGAAACGCAAATTTCCCTCCGTAGATAAGCCCCTCCGAATATAAGCCCCTCCAAAAATAAGCCCCTCGAAAAGGGCATTTGAAAAATATAAGCACCGGGGCTTATTTTCGGAATTTTACGGTATATTTTTCTTGTTGCCCTTGAAGTGGAGTGTGGTTGATACTTTCATTCCTCTCGATTTCCCTTGAAGGTTTGAATTATCGGGAACCTATTTATCAAATCTATTGCGGTCACAGGCAGTCCAAGCTCACTACAAGAACCCGGTCGTGACTCTTGCTTTTCTCTGCTCGCATGGTACTCTTGCCTGCGAGCGGTGTTGTGTTACAAACGGTTATTTACAAAAGCTTGTATGGGATGTAAAAGCAAGAAAAAATCAGCTGAAAAATGTTATGTTTTTAAATAAAATCGACTTACCTTGCCTTGTTGTATTCTTTGTTGTTTGCTCACGTCTCAGGCCGTTTTGAAGCGTTTTCGGCGAGTTACCAAGGCGCTATTTTGGTGTTCCATTGGTAAGAGAAAGTCAAGGCAGAACAGTGATTTCCTGAGTGTCCGTCGCTCGAGGCGAATAATTCCGCTGGAACATTACCCCCGGCCCCAATTCCTCCAGAATTTCAAAGCAGAGAAGTTGCAGTTCCATGTCCATTCACTCGATTCGCAATTCCTGAACGGCAGTTTGGAAGAGTCTAGCCCGAAATGCGGAAGCCGATCGAGCAAGAGATAAAAGCATCGCCAGTAAACGTTCTGTTTGAGGAATTACGAATCGAGTGAATGGACGACATGGAACTGCGACATCTCTGCTTTGAATTTCTGGAGGAATTGAGGCCGGGGGTAATTTTCCAGCGGAATTATTCGCCTTGAGAGACGGACAATCCGGAAATCACTGTTCTGCCTCGTCTTTCTCTTAGCAGTAGAACACCAAAATAGCGCTAACTCGCCGAAAACAAAGAATACAACAAGGCAATAAGGTAAGTCGATTTTCTTTAAAAACATAACATTTTTTCTCTTTCTCTTTAAAAAAAAAAACCGTTTACATCCCATATTAGCTTTTGTAAATAACCGCAGTTGTAACACAACACCGCTCGCAAGCAAGAGTCACGTCCGGGTTCCTGTAGTGAGCTTGGGCCACCTGTGTTGCGGTAAAGGATAATCGGAAGGTCCATTTTTAAAAAGAATGATTGTTTCGCAATTGTAAGCCTGTTGAGGGAGTTTCTTATACTAGTGTTTTCACTCACCACGAAGCTGACACTGTTTCCTCGTACCATAAGTGAATAGGTGTTGTTGAAAGAGATGCATCTCTTTTTTCCACTTTCCACCAACCTAAAATCTGCAGAAAAATAACACCAATATATAAGCTTTATGACATAGCACCAGTGCCTTTTAGAAAATCTCACATTTTATTTTTCTGAGAAGTGGTGACACATTCCTGATCAAACCAGAGAGAGCCAAAGGGGAAAATAGGAGACAAATTTTCAATTAATCAAAATTAGATAAAAAGAAGAATAACACTGGAAAATTAAATATTTCTAGGCGGAGTAAAAACGATTTTTCCGCGGGTGGGAGATGGGCGTATTGAAAATCATGTTGTATCGCCAATAACATAGAAACTAGCCAAACCACATGGTCCCCGCAGTCGCGCGATTTTCTTTGGTAATGAAATACGAAATTTTCGGCTTGTAGAATTTTTTCCATCTTAAAATGATTTTGAGATGGAAAGTGACTGACGGCAGTCAAATCACTTCATGAAACTTGCCAACTTGTCTGTTCTTGAATCCGCCTCTTTTCGGCACGATCGTTCGTTGGTAATAAAATATGAAATTTTCTGCTTGTAAATTTTTTTCCGTCTAAAAAAAATTTTGAGATGGAAACTGACTGAGAGTAGTAGAACAACATCAAGAAACCCGCCAACGTACGCGTGTTTGGATTGCTCCTCGTTTCGCCATTCGCCATCGCTGAGCATTCCATTTGCGAGTTTTTATTTTCACATTTGTCCATGTTAATTCCAATATAACTGTTATCAGGGCGCTCAAAACCAACATAATAAAAACTCTGTAGGCGAGAGTCAGACGGGCGAGAGTATACTTCCCCAGTAAACAAAAAGGCGAAAACAGTCTAGGAACAAAGAAAGCAGATAAGATAAGTTGAAACAAAAATCAAACAAAATTAGAAAATAAACTCCTCAAACTCCTAACACAATCAAACCTCCATGTTCGACCACCTTTCGTAAGATCTCGTAAGCGACCGCCTAACCATAAGAAGCAACCACCTGCCTAGAAAACCTTTTTGTCCCAGTCAATTCTCAATCAGTTACAACATCTCGTAAGTGACTTTGACCACTTTTTGGTACGATGTTTTTATTGTTTCCCATTATATTTAACCTCCTGTAAGCCGGTGACCACTTGATGCATTGTTGCTCGCTGTAAGTACTACGACGCTCAACGAAGAGCTTATGAAGTGTCAAAACGAAATTACACGTATGCGTAACTTAGAAATTGCAAGCAATAAATTCTACCGTAAAAAGTGGTTCGATTCTTCAAAGCGACGACCTCCGTTCCCGTAAAGGTTGATTTCCACTGTCGCGTACGTAATTTTACGCGCGTAAATAAAATAGAGGCAATGTATGCAATGTACGCGTAAGCGTGAAAGTTGAGCGAGGTTCCGACTTTTACGCTTTCATACATTGCCTCTATCTCATTTACTTATTCGCACAGAAACATTACGCGACAGTGGAAACAAACCCTAAGTGACCCGCCCTAAACCTTTGCATTTCGGGAGGTTCGACTGCATATAAAAAGAGAAATGCTTTGTTTTAAGTTGTAAACTCTGAATAAAGCACTGCCTGCAGGCCCCGTCCATAAAACTCATTTCACGAAACTCGGACCCCAGAATTGCAAAAGTTACTCTCAACTTAGAACTGAAGGAGCATGCGGCTTAATAAACTGGCCCTAGTTTGATATACTCACTGCAAAAAAACCTCTTAACTCCATTTTCTTCTGTTAACCACGACTTTCAGTTCTACTTCAAACTCTTTTGGATGACAACTCGATAAAGATAAAAGTTCGACACCTTTATTTTTATAGTCTAACCATGATGTTCTAGTACAATTGTATCATGTTTGAAGAATTCAATGTAGTTCCTAAGCTTGTATTTTAAGCTTGAAGCTTGAATTCTTGATTAACATACTAAGAAATTCTTTTGCAATTAACGTTGTTTAAACAAATAAAAAAATTGAAGAGTAAAACAGGTTGAAGGTCCAAAATCAGCGGAAGTATCCTTTTATTAGAGTGATGTAATGATCGCGAAGGTATTTAACCCTTCATTAGCCACTTGGCATCCGAAATTAGGGGCAAAAATGAGCTTGATCCGGCAGGAATTCCTCTACCGGTCCAGTTTCAGGGATGCTTATTTTGTAAACTTCCCGTTGTGTGCACTGTCGAGAAAAATCTGTGACCAAAGGTCTCTTTCCGCTTGTATTGTTCATCCACTTGTATGACCGTCGAAGCGTGAGGCGTAAGAAATCATTTTTCTGGACCGATGATCATCTATCGTGTAAACGGAGGGTTAAGTCGTCGCAGATACGTAGTCTGACTGAATTCGCGATCATGGCTTGGATGATTTTATATTCAGAAAACCGTTGGTAATACATTTCAATGGTATATTTGAAGAATATTCTTAAATATCAGTTTTAACGACATGAAATATATTATTCATCGTGAATAATGTGTATAAAGGGTTTCGTTCCGATTGTTTGTCTCACAACCGTCACATAGATATTGATCGCGACGAACTGCAGTACACGTTCGAACGTCGCGATCATTATTTTTGTAACAATCGTGAGACAAACGATTAACAAAATCCTTGAACCCTTCACATATCAGTTACTCAAAATTAATTACTCCCTCACCCACATCTAGTATCGAAGTAATATAATGTTGCCTTAGAGATCTCAAGCATAGGCCAAGTAAGAGGTGAAACAAACGAAAGAAATCCAAACGAATCTGAAATGTACACATCACTAGAAAATTCAGTTAACCGAACGTTTTCCAAGGAAGTTCGAAATCAGGGGTACCCAACATCAATTTCGGAAAATATCGGTTCGGAAGACGATTTGAAATCTAGAATTTTCGGAACATTTTTTGTACAATTTCTTGCTTGCCTGCCTCTCCTAGTATTTTCGAACATATAAAAAAAGGGGGAAATTGCCCATTTTTAGCGGATTTTTACCCTAAAAGGTCACTTAGAATTTTCGGGAGCCTTTTTTCTGACTGAAATTTTCGAAAAGGTAAGTTTTGATCCCTATGATTTTCTGATCACTAAACTTTCAGCTAGGAAATCTGAACAAATGAAAAATTTTTAGGAGATAAAAATATGCCTATATCTACAGTTTAAATACTAAAATACGTTCATCAATACTATGTTTAAGTGGTTTTGAAGTATATTCTCGTTGGCTGCCCCTATCGAAATCTTGTCTCATCTGGAATTTAAAACCAAAACCCGCGAACTTGATCTTTCAGTGTTATTAATTGATCGTTACAGTTACTCGGAATGCTTTATTTGTAAAATCTTAATTATTTATTAATTTATATTTTAGTTTATTTATCATATTTGTCCACATCAGCTGTATAAGCTGCCACTATTGGCCTGCTAACCAAATAAACCACGTATGTATGTGGTTATCATTATTATAGATACATTTACCCCCCCCTTGGGGGATAAATGTTAAATAAACGTTGAATTACCTAACCTGTGGTATATTATCTTCCTTTTGCCTCAAAAGCGGTTTTTTTTGAGCGTTTTTGAAGGATTTTTAGTGTGCCTTTTACTGTTCGGCTTATAATAGAAGGAACCGGTAAACGGCAAACTCAAAATCCTTCAAAATCGCTCAAAAACCGCTTTTCAGGTAAAAGGACGACAATACACCACAGGTTAGGTACCTTGCAAAGGAGCGTATAATTTGACGATGCTAATTCTCTCAGTTGAAGGCCACTGAATTCTTCTGTATAAAATAAGACGAAGCATACCCTACAGAATCAGTACTACTCAGTACAAACTTCTTTCACAAAGGCGCCTCAAAAATTGATACAATTTCTGGCATTTTTTCAGGCTAGGTTTATTCGTACAACATAAAAGTTAACCGACTTGCTTTCCCTTAACAAACTAGCTGCGGTTTTGTTTTGCAAACGCGGGATGATGAAACGCCCCGGGAACACATTTGTACGAACTAATTAAATAACCTATCACTGGAAGTTCTTATAGCCATGAAATGTGCTAATAGCAGTATCCTTATTTAACCCGGCAGGTGAAATTTGTCGATTTATTTATTGCATTTCCTAAACCTGCATCAAATATAATCGATTTTTACCTGAAACTATTGAAACTAACTTATCTTATCGTGCTTAGGTCATTGCATCACTGCCTCTGACAGACCGGCAAAATTTGACTTAATTCCGCCCACCCTTCACTCAGTCTTCCCATGAGGGCGGACGCCTGTTGCAAGAGACACTTAGTAACGGTCTACCAACCACATACTAACACTGCATTATAATTTTATCTGATATCCCAGCTCTTGATTTTTTCCAACAAACCTAACTGAAACTACTTCGGCTGAATTAAGAGACGTTCTTTTAATTTTTTCCTTGTAGACTGAAGCGACAGACAGCCTGAAGCGACATAAAACATATTAATTGTACAAATTGCAATGGTCCTTGTCAGAAAGTCGGTATTAGTTTATCATATACCTTCTAGCTGGCTCTCTGTAAAAGAAGGACCTCATCCGACTAATAACCGATTTTATCTAAGTAAATTTCGCAATGTTTTCTTTTAAATCACCATCGTATTTGAATTTGTTATTCAGTACTGAGAGTTGCGAAGTGCTGAATTTACGGGGGCTGTTGTCTCCATCGAGTTCCGGCTGAAAATTAATGGAGTTAGGCGTACTGTCCCTAGCTTAAGTTGCTTAAAGACTCCAAAGTTTATGATATACTTATCCGCAAATCGTCTACGGTTGTTTTGCGATTGTTATCAACTACAGTCATTGCAAAAGAAACTGTGTTTTCAATAGAAAAAGGCGTCTATACCCAGTGCACTTCTCTACGTATGTGGACTTTTTATGTACAAAAAAAGGGAAATCTTTGAACCGCATAGATTGGAAATTTTGAAGTTATGGTTACACACACAGGTTGTGTGAGCTCCCTTTGGTTTGTGCCGCCTTGTTCTACAAATCGTGACCCTATCCACTTAAACTACTCTTCCTTTGTCAGTATTCATTTCGGAACTGAAATAACAGATACGTTCATACACTCCCGTAGTTCCATCGAAAACGATACCCGTTTTCAGACCAAAACGGCTAAAAAATATAGATATATCCTTCGGGGCGGCACATACCTATATGGCTTATATAAGGGAGTCCCCCCCGGGACATTTACAGTAGAGGAACTCTAGATCAGAATGCTTTCTAGCACTTCAATGACTTATCATTCTGTATTCGTTTATTATGCGACACATATACTATATACAAGTACCTGTAAAGTTAAACTGTTGATTTTGTGATTAATATTTTACTGTAATGACTATAACTCTTTAAATAACTGAATTTCTAATTCTTAAGTTGAACGTTAAACAAACGTTGAGTATGTGATCTTAGTCTTCCAACTTCCTAAACTCCAGTGGATTATTATAAAATCGAATCATGTTACATTGCTTTTGGCGATCTAGCAGATCAAGGTCAATTTTAGTTTCTTCTTCATCGTACAAACTTCTTGTGCGTTGGCGTAGCTTGGCACTGTTTACATTTAGTATTGGGTATTATAAAAGCAAATCAGCAAAAATTAGTTCAGCTTGAATTCGCCTGTATAGCAAGCGTTTCCAATCGCGGAAGTTGAAACGACAGCTGCATGCAATAGATATGGAGGATCTTTTTTGCTCGCTCGCTTCGCAGGCTAAAATTCAGC